TAAAAAAAAAAAAAAAAATACAAAAATTTAGTTGGGCATGGTGGTGCACACTTGCTGTCCCAGCTACTCAGGAGGTTGAGGTGGGAGGATGTCTTGAGCCGAAACCGGCCTGCGTCACTCCGCAAGACCCTGTCTCAAAAAAAAAAAAAAAAAAAAAAAAATGCAGAAATTTAGCTGGACATGGTGGTGTGTGCCTGTAGTCCCATCTCCTCAGGAAGTTAAAGCTGGAGGATTGCTTGAGCTTGGGAGGTGAAGGTTGTAGTGAGCTCAGATTGTGCCACTGCTCTCTGGCCTGGGTGACAGAGCAAGACCCTGTCTCAAGAAAAAAAAAAGTTCTAGAAGGCTACACACCAAACTTATAAAACTTATAATGTTATTTACCTGTGGGGAGGAAGATTAGGTCCCCTGTCTTCCTTTGAGTAACAATAAAAGAAAAAATATCTTAAAAGAATGACCTCTTGACTTGTGGAATTGTTATCTTCATGGGTAGTAGGAGTTTAACCTTGCTCTGGTCTCACGTTCTCATCCCCAGATAAAAGCTGAGGATGACCAGCCCCTCCCGGGAGTCCTCTTATCCCTGAGCGGTGGCGTCTTTCGTTCCAACCTCTTGACCCAGGACAACGGCATTCTGACATTCTCAAACCTGGTAACGTGTTTCTGCAATTTACCGCCTGCCTGTCTTCCCTGAGAGAGAGCCACGATGCAGCATGCGAGACTTACGTGTTGCTTGACAACGTGAGAAGAGAAAACCAGTGTGGAGTGGTTTCAGTTTCTTGGGGGCCCACAGTCTAATTAGAGTATTGCTCTTACTCAAACTTAATGCTGCTGATTCGTGTTCTCTTCCACACGCGCCTCTTGTTTTCTGATCACCCGCTTGTCACTAAGACAGTGTAATTAATTTCCCTGGCCACAACGGCTCCTCTCTGGGGCAGCTTCTTGTTTTGCTACGGAATCATGTTTATGATGCTGAGTCTTGTTTGGTGGTTAGCTTGCGTTTCTTCTGAAAGGCACATTCCACCTGGTGGGAAGAGAGCAGCGGTTTTTCTTTGGAGATGCAGTCGGAGGCCCTGACTGCTGGGATTCAGGAAGTGTGTGTTTGTTGGTCATCTTGTCAGTCGTGGTAACAAAGTGGCTGTAGTGGGGCTGTTGCAGACCGGGCAGCGGGGGCATCTGAAGACACCACTTTGCAGTGATGCAGACTGCTCCTTACTTGCTGTGTCCTATCAGGCAAGTTACTTTGCCTCTCTGAGCCTCAGTTTCTTTATTCATTAAATTCAAATACGGGCCAGGCATGGTGGGCCACACCTGTAATCCCACCGCTTTGTGACGGTGAGGCAGGAGGATCGCTTGAGCTTGGGAGTTTGGGACCCGCAACATAGGAAGACCCCGTCTCTACAAAAAATAAAAAAAATTAGCTGGGCATGGTGGTGCATGCTTGTGGTCCCAGGTACTCAGGAGGCTGAGGTGGCAGATTTGCTTGAGCCCAGAGTGCTTTGATCGTGCACTCCATCCTAGGGCACAGAGTCAGGTCCTGTCTCAAAAAAAAAAAAAAAAAATTTAAATATGACTTCTGCCTCGCAGAGTCGTTGCAGGCAGGTAATACCAGCAGCTGCCATTGTTAGAGCTGTGATTGCCGTTACCTGACTGTGAGTGGTGATTGTAGACAGAGGATGACCATTTCTGGCTGCCTGGGAAGCCACGGCACTCCTCCGGTGTAATTCTGGTCCATCATGACCTTCACCCCTCACTTTTAAACCATGCCTAGATGTGGCTGCTGAGGTTCAGTGTGATTATCTTGGCAGAGCCCTGGCCAGTATTACTTCAAACCCATGATGAAGGAGTTCCGGTTTGAGCCGTCCTCACAGATGATCGAGGTGCAGGAAGGCCAGAACCTGAAGATCACCATCACGGGGTACCGAACCGCTTACAGGTAAGTGCCCCAGCCACCCGACTGTCTTTCAGGGCTGGGCTGGCAAATCACATTCAGGCTTCTGTTGCCTGGAAACGCATCCCAGGCTTCACGTTGATTTTACCTGGGAGGCAAGGGAGATGAGATACGTGGGCAAAGAAATTTTGACTGCTGCCCTTCTTTCCCAGTCTCAAATTTCCTATTTTGGAATTAGCTTGAGAGAGTCTGTTGAGTTGCTAAAAGCTTTTATTTATTTTTATTTTTTGAGACAGAGTTTCACTCTTCTTGCCCAGGCTGGAGTACAATGGTGCATTCTCAGCTCACGGCAACCTCTGCCTCCTGGGTTCCAGCAATTCTCTTGTCTTGGACTCCCAAGTAGCTGGGACCACCACCATGCCCGGCTAAATTTGTATTTTTAGTAGAGATAAGGTTTCACTTTGTTGGCCAGGCTGGTCTCGAACTCCTGACCTCAGAGATCTGCCTGCCTCGGTCTCCCAAAGTATTTGGATTACAGGCGTGAGCCACCGTACTTGGGCACTTTTATTTTTTAAAAGAGTTTCAAACCTGAATTAAATTACTAAAAGGAGAAAATGTGCTCAGTTGAATAAAACTTCAAAATGCTGAAAAGAGTATAGTGTAAAATTTCCCCTCTGTCCCATCTCCCAGTCACACAAGTTCCTCTTCTGGGAGACAACCAGTACTTCTAGTTTTTCTGAATGCTTCCAGCTGTAGATAGATAGATACACATTAGTGTCTGGCAAGGTACAGTGGCTCACACCTATAATCCCAACACTTTTGGAGGCTGAAGTGGGAGGTCCACTTGAGTCCGGAAGTTAAGGACCAGCCTAGGCAACGTGGCAAGACCCCCTCTCTACAAAAAAATAAAAATAAAGAATAATTATTTTATTCTATAGAAAAATATCTATAGATAGATACATACATACATGTATACACACACACGTATTTTTTGTACACTTATACAGAATCACTTTAGATGAAGAGTAATTGGAAAGATTGGGTTTAGAAAAATGGACCATTTTCTACTGAATATGTGGTGTGAAAGAGGAAGTGAGTTATTTCCGTGTTATTGAAAGCTCCATTATTTCAAATAAAGCCTGGAAAGAATAAAATAAAGCCTTAACCTTCTTAAATTACAGTTTTCCAGAGCATCCCTCAAAATGTATGAGGAGAGAAATTGATGGCAGCTTGTCCCTCTGGCGGGAAGGTGTGGTTTGGAAGTGGGCTGGCCACACCAAGTTGCCTGGGTCATTGGGGCACAGTTCTCCACTGAGCTATTTTGCCCTGTAATTGTTGGTAAATGGGAAACACTTGGGTCCTTCAGATCACCATGAGAATATCTCATTCGTGCCTTTTCTTGCCATACTAGTTGCTATGGCACAGTGTCCTCCTTAAACGGAGAGCCCGAACAAGGGGTTGCCGTGGAAGCGGTGGGCCAGAACGACTGCAGCATTTACGGAGAAGACACTGTGACAGACGAAGAGGGCAAGTTCAGATTACGTGGATTGCTGGTGAGACTTGGAACGTGTTTTCTTAAGGGATGTTTTTTTCATCCTGTGTCCAGAAGTGTCTTGTGGCCCCAAGACTGCCAGGAGTGGGGTGGGCGAGAGGGCTGGGGTGGGGCCCTGGAGCCCTCCCAATTCTTACCTTAATTGGTACCGTTTGCCCTTTTTCTAGCCAATAAGTCAGATCAAAGATCTGTGGCGCAGTGGAGTTTGAAAACCATGGGTTTGGTGGGACTTCTCCCTAGCAGGGTGTAGCCATGGCTTATGGTGGGGCTCTCAAGCCAAATGCCTATGTAGCCAGAAGAGCAGTGTGAACAGGGGAGGAGGCTGGGCGAATGATAGGGAGTGGTGAGGGCTGTGGAAAGGGACAGCCTGTCACTTGGCTCCAGCTTATTGTAGCCATGGGGGAAGACAGACTCAGGGTTGCCAGATCATTGAAATTTTAAAAAGAGAAGTCAGAAATTCCCACTTCCCAGAAGTAATACCCAGCACAAGTATTTGGGAATGCCTAAGATGGACATTCCAGATATCCATCAATGTGTATATACGGGTAGAGGGGAGGGGCGGATGGAGAGGAGAAACATCTTAGAAGAGTAAGAGCGCATAGTGTGCTTGGAATTTTGAAATAAGAAACCAAATTTGATTTATTTGGGGTAGAAGAAAATGAAACTGAGTTGGGATTGAAGGAGTCCCAAAATTTCAGGTGTTTCCACACTAGGGGTGTTCTTAAAGGAACTCTAGACTCTCAAGAAGGTTAACAGGCCACAGATTGGGAAATGAGGGGACAGAAATGCCCCTGGTCTGTCTTAGTGACCTCGTGCAGCCAGACCAGGCTTGGACCAGGCATGATATGACAAGCCCCCTTTCTAGAGAATTGACTCCTGAGTTTATTTGCAGCCGGGATGTGTGTACCACGTTCAGCTCAAGGCAGAAGGCAACGACCACATTGAGCGGGCGCTCCCCCACCATCGGGTGATTGAGGTAAGGCATTAAGTGCTGCCACTGCACTGGGGTGTGGGTGCCTCCCTGATCAGAAGTCCTCCTGTCTCCTCTGGCTGTCTGCCTTTCATCTGTGGCAGGGGC